AAGCTCCCCCCGGGGCCTGGCTGCACAGACCGCAGGCTGGGTCCCTCCAGGGGCAGTGCAAAGGGGTGGGGGCTGGTTGGGGGCAGGGGGTCTCTCACTCTGACTGCATCTCGCCCTCCTTCCTTCAGGGGGCTCCCCCAGGCTGCCCCAGGTGGAGAGCTCCCGGTAACCCCCCAGCGGCGCTAGGCGAGATGAGGGGCTCTGCTGTGGGGGGAAGGGCCCCTGCTGGGGAGCTCTGCCCCATGGCTGCCCCAGGTGGAGAGCTCCCGGTACCCCCCCCCAGCGGCGCTAGGCGAGATGAGGGGCTCTGCTGCGGGGGGAAGGGCCCCTGCTGGGGAGCTCTGCCCCATGGCTCTGCTCTGGGGCTTGAGACGGGAGCTCAGAGAGGGTAGCAGCCTGAGCACAGGTTCTGGGGCCAGGACTCTCGGGTTCTGATCCCGGCTCCGCCCGACTCCCTCTGCAGCCTTGCCGACCTGCTGCCCCTTTTCGGCCCTGTCTGGAAAGGGGGCTGGCAGGGGGCCGAGGCTGGGCCGGATTCGGGTCCCTGGAGCACTGGCACCACCAGGGGCCAGGCCACGGGCTGACCGGAGCCTGGCCCAGCTCGGGGGGCACTGGGCTGACAGCCCCCTGCAGGCGCTGCCGACATGTCCTGCGCCCCACAGCGTCCAAACTAGCCGCCCAGGGTCCGGGGAAGCCCAGAGACCTGGGGGTGGGAACTGACCATTCCCACATTAACCAAACTTTGTTATTTTAACGTCAAAACCCCAAAGCCCAGCTCAGGGGCTGGGCTGGAGTTTGGGGGCAGAGGCTCAGGGCAATTCGTGCCTTTTCCAACCCCCCCTGGCCGTGCCCCGTCCCCTACGTGCTGGGCAAACCTGGGGGGAGTCTCTCCCGGCTCGCCCGCTTTGTTTCCCTCCTGTCTGGCCACGCAGCTCTGGAAGGGTCACCTGAGCGGGGGCAGGAGCTGGGATGCCAGGGGCCACGCGGGATGGGCTCCCGGCGCCAGACCCCAGCACAGCCCAGAGCCCGGGCCTAGAACCGCAGCGCAGGCCCCAGCCCCTCGCGCCTCCCTTCCCAGCTCGGCTTGTGGGCTGGACGCTCAGCCCCGGGACGTTCCCAGCCAGCGGTGGAGCTGCCCACCCACCGATCCCCACGGCAGCCGGCCCCGGATGCTGGAGTCCCAGGCCTCTGCGCTGGGTGGGGTAGTTTGGGGTGGAGCTCGGCCAGGCCTGGCCGGACCAAGCAGAGGAGGAACCGGAGCCCAGGCCAGCTGCTGGTTGCGCTCCCAGGGCCGCCTCTAACGCCCACTGGAGGCCTTGGGCTGGGGTCCGGCCTCTGCCCTTCCCCTGGCCCGGGGCAGGAATTAACAACGCGGGAGAGGCCCAGGCCGGCTCCAGCGAAAGGCAATGCCCGAGGCCGAGCGCACGGCCCTGCCGCGCTGGGAGAAACGCTGTGTTCCTTTCGGCTCCGTTTTAACCCCGCGGAGCCGGGCCTGAGCTGCCGGCTTTGAGATGTACTAAATCCCGCCAGCCCCAGCCCCGGTCGTTAGTGCCGATAAACGGGGGCAGGATGGGTTTCGGGCGGCAGCGAGGGGCCCAGATGGTGTAAATAAGGAAAGGGGAACGCCCTGGTGCTGGCTGGGCCCCCGGCTTCTCCATGTGTCTCTGGTTGCCGGGCGGGCGCCTCCCCCACGCTGACTTTTTTACTCTGTCCGTCGTGTGTCTGTGAAGCCTGTACAGTAGCCCTGGCGCTACCTTCATGCACTGTGTAAATGTAAGCACATGTAAAGCGAATATTAGCCTCGGGATCCACCCGCTAGGCGCTGGGGCCTAGAATATACTGCCTGGCGCTGCCTTCCCAGCGTGGCCGTGTGCTCGTCTCTGCCCCGCGCCGAGCCACGAATCCCCAAAGACCCAGCTTTGCCCGGCTTCCCTACCTGGTTACGCGGGTGACAATCCAGAGCAAGGCCATGGATGGTGGTGGATTTGCACTCACGTAGCTCCCCTGTTCCTGTGGGGCAGAGAGCTGCTATGGGGGCAGGGGGGTTATGGCCATGGACTCCCAGCAGCAAAACTTGTCCGAGGGGCAGAGATGCGAAGGCCAGAAAGGTCACCCAGCCAGGCTGCCCTCCTAGCCCTGGGCAGAGACCCTGGCCAGCACCTCCTGACCCGCCCAGAACGGCTGGGGGAGCCCGCGGCATTTTGTAGCCAGACTTCCCATATCGAGCCTGGACACCAACCCCGGGAGACTCCCTGCGCCCCTTGGCGAGCACTCCCAGGGCCAGCGCCCCCCGCCACTACCTGCCCGCGCCGGCACCCCGCGGCAGCGCCCCCCACCACCACCTGCCCGCACCACCTCATGCTGGCTCCCCGCGGCAGCGCCCCCCGCCACCACCTGCCC